GGGGCGGCGGCCCCGTTCGCGGGCCCTCCGGGGCAGGGCCGGACTCCGGCCTCTCGCCTCTCCGGCGGAGCGAACCGCGCTTTGCGGTGTCAGGTAGGGCGCCGCCGTCCCGCTCGGAAAATAAAAACCAACTACTTGGGGTTGTGGCAAGGGGTTTGGCCCTTTCTTTGCTCCCGCTCTCGGGTGGTGCTGGCTTCTACGGTGACTCGTTAGCAGATGCGCTGGCCGCCAGCCTGCCTTCCCACCTCGTCTCCCTCCACCCCCCAAGTGTCCTTCACGTCGCCGAGCACTGATCTCTGTTTACACGGCAGCGTTACCTGATTCGCGGTGTGAAAATTGCCTCCCCGCTACCAAGTCTGGAAAGGCAGAAGGGCAGCCATCTCGCCCAGCTCTTCCAGTGGGCTGCAGCACACCGCTGTGTGTCAGTTCCTTCCCACAGCGGGCAGCTCTCCTTTCCCGCTATTGCCACATCATCAGCCCTTCTGACATCCGTTGAAAGGACTGTAAATTAGAGGTCTACGAGGACGTGCCAGCGCAGTTGCTTGCGAAGCGTGCCTGTGACTTACCTGTACCCTGTTCAGATACAAGGGTTTTAATTTAAAAAAATCTTTATTTGTAGACTTAAAAGTTTAAAACTTCAGCAAATAAAATCACCGTAGTTAGTCTTAGGTTAAGTATTGCACGTGGTTGAGCAAAAGTCTTTGAGTGTACCTTCTAAAGGCACTTGAGAGGAGGGGTTGTATTTGCTTTTTCTAGCTCTGACTGACAATCCTGAAGTCCTTGGATATACGTGTCCTGCTCAGGCATTCTTATTCCCTGTGAAAGTTTTTGAATATTTATTTTAAATGTGTACTCATAGTAATTAGATCTTTTTCAGGCTTGAGTAAATCAATCACCCATTCATTTCTACTCTTTCATTTTTGGAAAATGTTACGTTTATTAAAAGAAAAATCTGTAGGTTTGTGTATGTTTTAAAAGTTCTCAGCCTAGCCTGCGTGTGCTCTAAACTGCAAACAGACAGAACTTTGTCCTGTGGCCAGTATTGGTGTTAATCGTATCTGCCCAGTGTTTGAATGTATGAGACTCGGCTCCGTAAAAGCAAAGAGGCAACGAACTGTCAGATTGCACTTGTCTTAGAGCCTTGCTCTGGAGCCATGCTCTAGATCAGGTTTCTTTTCTGACTATTGTTGTGGTTCTGTTGAACGTATGGACATAGTAGTATACGCTATTGAGGAGGTCATATTAAAGAAGACTTTTTTATGTTTTAAAACTTGAATGAAAATAAGTGCAAAAATAGTAACTTTGTAACTACCTGTGAAACTGTAGTGTTCTGATACCAGCAGATGAAAAGGACGTGCTAATCATTTATTAAACTTACTAGTCTTAGAAGAAACAGTACTTACTAAATTAGTTTCCTGGCAATAGCAATGTCTTTTTATTTTCACATTTGTAATGACAAAACAAAATTAAAATATTTTCATATGTTGACATGTTCAAAAATTAAACAATAGGTTTTAAGGCAAGTTGGTTGCCTTCTGCGAATTTAAGCATTGCTATGTGAATGCTGAACTTTTTGTCATCCAGCTGTAAACTTTTTGGTTTTGAACTTACTGGCACATAAATGAGTAGTTCAGAAAGTTATTAGAGAAGGAAAAAGGCTGAAAGATCAACACAGACAATCATTTGAATGTGAGGTTTTTGCAGCTGAGGCTTCAAAACACTGTATTTGACAGATTTTTAAGAAATTCTTCGAACATTAGTTTGAAAATTGTACTACAATGTCAGTTTTCTGTTGATTAACTAGACATTAAAAAGGCTTTCTTGTATTTGCATTTTGTTTTGGTAGGTTCAGGTTTATTAGTTGCAGCTCAAGATGCTACGGAAGATGAGGAAGCTGTGGAAGATACCGTAGTTGAAGATGAAGATGATGAAGCTGAAGTTGAAGAAGATGAGCCAACAGACTTGGTAATTGTACATGAATTGTACTTCCTAAGTATGAATTAGACCAAAAGTGCTCGAAGCTAGATAGTTTAGATATATTTAAATGTGAGTTTAATAACATTGCTATTTCCAAATAGCTGTTTCCAGGTCTCTAATTAAACTTGTGTTCAATCTGAAGTTTCAGAAGGATTTATCTTTTCTTCCTGAATTATCAGTTGGAAAACCACATGGGGACAGCTTGATTTCTGACTACCAAAACTGCAGTTCACAAAAAAGAACACCAAGTGAGAGAACGAGATTCTCATAGGAGCCCCTTGTAGTTCTTTTCCAGCTTAAGCTGCATCTCAGTAAACTGAGAAGGACGTTGGGGTATAGGACTACTTCATTCTGGCTTCTTTGGTATTGATTTTCAAGGGGCAACAGAATCTTAGTTCTTAATTAAGCTCAGTATTAATTCTGAAAAACTTGCTTTGCAGCCTGTTTTCACTTCCTACATTCCTAGTCTCTGACACTTGTTGCAGGGTATGCATGTTACACCAGTGGCCATATTGCTGTTCAGGGTCACTTGCTTCAGCTTGACAAAGTGAAATATTTTATGTAGTTTTGTGATCTGCTTTTAGCAGTAGATTATTAGGCTTGCTAGACACTTAGTGTACTTAAATTGGTGCAAAAATTTCTCAAATTTCTGGTGTAAAATAAGAAAGTTTGGGTCATTATTAGGAGGAGAAGACATACATAATAAAAATGGAGACCTGGTAAACTGTTTTCTGATTCTATTAGATTTTTACTGATGTTGGTAAATTGGTGAGCTTATGGTCGACCAGCTTTGCTAAGTGGTAGAAGGTATGCTAGGTATTCAGTACTGACAGAATATTATTAAATAACCTTTTGGATGGAATTTGCTTTTAATAAATAGCCTATGACTCAGGTACAAAACATTACACTTTTTAGGCAGTTTCTTTTATTTGTCACTGAGACAGAAGATAGTTTTGCATAGCATCTTGAAATCAAGATGCTATGTGCTCATCTCTGGTTCACGGCTTCCCTAGATCATGGTGCATGTATGACTGATCCAGTAGGCTATCCACTGCTTCAAGTGGTTGTTTAAGCAGTGAAATCAAATGATCTAACTAACTCACAAGATCATGGTACATGTATGACTGATCCAGTAGGCTATCTGCTGGATACAACCACTGCTTCAAGTGGTTGTTTAAGCAGTGAAATCAAATGACCTAACTAACTCACAAGCAGTTAGTTCAGACAGTTCAAAATGGGGTCAGCCTTGTTTTTACTTGGTGGGGGAGGTGGTGATCCCATGATCCCTATGTGGAAAATAAGCCCTTAATGCTTGCATTTGCTAAATTAAAAAGTGAATCATCACAAAGGTGAGCTTGAACAAGTGAATCCATGAACTTACTTAGTTCCAACTCTCTAACCATTTCCAGGCATACCTAACACTTAACTAATTAAAACTGAATAGAAAGCTTCTATAAACACTCGCTCCGTAGTGAAAGTAACTCTCATTTGCCTTACGGTTGCCTATAATTTTGGAAATGCTTGTTTTCTAAGTAGAAATAGCTTAGGTGTGAACACTTAACATCTAGGTCCTATTCTTTTCCTTCCACCCCCAAACAGAGACTTTACTGTTGCTTTCTAATTATAAACCTTTCAATACAGCTAAATGCAGTTCAGATTAGTCACTGTGTCAAATATAACAAGTAGAAGGACAAATGCTGAAAATAATGCTAATCAAATCTAGAGGGAGAACAGGCTATGTGCTAATCCTGCAACAGCAGGAATTGATACTAATGCTTGCCATTGTTGCATGCTTTGACACATGGGATTCTCATGAAACAAGCATGGTCTTTGCTTCGCTGTTCGTTATAGGATTTTTCAAAAAAGTCTCTTGTCTTAGACAGAAGAAAAAGAGGAAGAAGACTTGTCAGGAGAACCTAAAGCCTCACCTAGTGCTGATACAACCATCTTATTTGTGAAAGGTGAAGGTAAGAGTCCTGTGCTAATCTACCATCTTCTTTACTGCTGCTTAGACTATATCAATGTGTGCATAAAACAGTGAAGCTCTAAAAAACCCCAGAATCTGTTCTAGACACTTTCTGTTTAGCAACGGGCTAGGTGTGGTGTATGAAGTTTCTAATGGTTGAATATTTTTTGTGTTTTAGACTTTCCAGCAAACAACATTGTAAAATTTCTGGTGGGCTTCACCAATAAGGGTACAGAGGATTTCATTGTTGAGTCTCTCGATGCTTCTTTCCGCTATCCTCAAGACTACCAGTTTTATATCCAGAACTTCACAGCTCTCCCTCTGAATACAGTAGTTCCACCACAGAGACAAGCCACGTTTGAGTACTCTTTCATCCCTGCTGAGCCTATGGGTGGTCGTCCTTTTGGACTGGTTATCAATCTCAACTACAGAGATGTAAATGTAAGCCTGATGTTGTAATTCATTTTAATCTTTCTAGTTGATGTGGAAATGTCAGGAAGGAACTGCTTAGTCAAGTTCCTACCTCTTCAGAAAGTGAATGCCTTTGTGGTTTTTAAGCAAATCAGTAGATACATAAGCACAGTAAGTGACTGTCTACGTGCTTCACAATACCCCCCATGTACACTTAGTTCTGTATATCTTAGACTTAAAGTTATGTCAGCAGTGGAAGCTAGAATGCCTTAGGACTGTGTATTAGTGGGCTGTACTCATTTTAAAAAAACAAAACAAAACAAAAAAACAAAACCCTAAAGCTTCTTAAGGATAACTTAAATTTCACTGTGCTTTTCAGATTGGGCTTTGCTAATAAACTTAACTATCAACCTGAATCCCATCTGCAGACTTGACTTCGAGCAAATAAATGGCCAGTAGTTGCAATCTGGGGGAAGACTATCCAAAAGCATAAATGGGGATTAAAATAGGGGATTCTCTTCTCTTTTAGTGCAGGTCAAAGTTTAACAGGCTTCTGTACCTTTGTTTTGATTGTTCTAATAAGAACCCTTCGTATGTAATACCTCATGTTATAGGAAATAACATATTGAAGGCTAGATGTGACTTTCTTGCTAATGTCAAGACTGTTCTTTGTACTTGTATTAAAAAGTTTGTGCTTTTATGTGTTGAGTCAAACTTGCACTGCTTATAAACTTGATCAAGTCTCGTGCAGGAGTTACTACTTTCTAGAGTTTTTCCAAGAACATGGAAAACGGTAAACATTGTTTGTGTTCAAGAAATGAATTTAAAATGTTATGTGGAAACTTTGTTATAGGGCAATGTGTTTCAAGATGCTGTCTTCAATCAAACCGTCACAATTATTGAAAAAGAAGATGGGCTGGATGGAGAAACGTAAGGAGGCTGGAGATTCAAGTTTAGTTGGTATACTGGTAGAACAGGTTATTGATGGCGCCAGTGAGAATAGCTCTTGTATCCTCATTTTATTGAATGTTAGGTCTGCTGTGTTTTGCTGATGGTGTAGCAGGCATTTGACTTGTACAACGTTGATAGACTGAAAATATGAACCTTTTCCCCAAATTAAGATCTGTATTAATACTGGGGATCTTCAGGACTGGTACTATGTCAATGAGCAGTTTACACATCTGCTTTGGCTCAGAGGGCTTAAGCCTGGAATAGGACCAGATGTTACACAGCTACATCACAATTCAAAGCTGTTAAGCTTTTGTTATGCTACTATGCTTTGTCCCAAGAGTTGAAGCTGCAGAGGGTCCATAGAATTGGGCTGTGGGTCCTACTGTGAAGACTGGAATAACTTGCTTCTGGAGCACTCCAGTGTAATCCAAGATTACATAAACTGAAAGATGTATTTGGAGTATGAGATAGAGGAACTCACACTCATTCTTTGTTGCACTAACTCCTACCTGTAGCAGGTATCTTTCAGGAGTATTTTTTTTCTGTCTTAAAGACTTAAGTACATCTGACACACCTTACATGTTGCAAGCATATGCTGTGCTGATGTGCTTTTAAATATTCTAACACTGGAGTGGAATTTTAAGAGAACCTGTGAGTTAAGAAAAAAGTCTTCAGAAATACTTGTAGACAGTGCTGAATATTTGAATTCTCCTGCCACGAGTAGAAATAGCCTGCTGAGCAAGCTTCCTTTTTAAAAAAGGACAGCCAAAAGAAATAGCTGTTGCATTAATTCATATTTCTCAAATAGAATAGCATCAATGACAGAACTATTGGTCACGTGAAAATGTGTGATACTCTGATAAAGGAGCTCTCAAAAGAATTCAAATTATTAGAACCAGTTTGAGTTAATGTCCTATGAATAGATAATTACCCTAAAACAGGGATGTTCAGTTAAGTGTCTTCTGTAGTTTAACTCTGTAATTTCCTTTGTCATAAGATTTTCAACTTGGAAAAGATTCTTTACCTGTAAACTCCTGCCGGCTCCCCAGATTAATTTTAGATCTAATTTATGTTCACCTCTTGCTAAGTATCAACAGGTATTTCAGGTAGAATTCTTCAAAACAAACCAAAAATGCACAGATTTAAAAAATGATTGTTTGCATAGGTAGAATTCTAAGTGTGGAACACAGAGCAAGGTGAGCAAGGCCTTTCAAAGCTCTGTTGCCAGTGATTAGTATCCTAGCAGTACTTGCTTTGCAGTAGCGTACTAAAAGCATATAAGAGATTTTTAAGGGTTTTGTAAATGGTTAAAGCTGTCACAAACATAAATATTACCTGTGACCCAATGTCTTGAAACATGATACTGCAAAAGAGTTCTTGCAGTTACTAAATTTCAATAATTATTTATAACAGTTTCCCAGTTTATATGGCATTTTTCAAATGTTCTGCTGTTCAGAATTAAACTTAGGATTACAGCTTCTGAAATCGAAGTCAGAATAATTACTTAATGTTTGTTAGCACGTCCAGATTCATTGGGTTTTTTTCCCCATCCACCCCCTACAAAAGTTCTTGGGAAAGATCAAGTGGGCATGTGGCCAAAGCCAGGCTTAGTTTCTATGCCTCTTTGTAAACTCTCTTAAACACTTAAGGTTTTCAGGTAATGGTTTCTTAAACTGTTTTTTAAAGGATCTTCATGTACATGTTCCTCGCTGGACTTGGTCTACTTGTCATTGTTGGCCTACATCAGTTACTAGAATCTAGGAAGGTGGGTAGTGTATTTTGTCTATGTACTTGTTAATACAAGACCTTACTGAAATGAAAAGAAAACAGTTCAGTAATTGCTTCTGGCATATGATGGTACAGGTAGAGCTTCAGAAGATTTACTTTCAGAACTAAGACCTTAGAGATTACTGGGAAAACCAGAGAGTTTTTAAAAAATGTTCATAATTGGAGACATTTAGATTGCTTACCTAATGCTCTTTGGGACCACACCGAAGTGGTTGAATTGGAAGCTTTGATACCTTCCAGTCACTGGATGTGTGCAGCTACTGATTCTATACTCGCTGGGTGGACTTTCCCTATGCTCTCTATCTATTAGTTTAATCTAGGCCAAACTTTGGGGAAAACAGCTGTGTAGTCCTTTATTTAGTTCTTTTCGATGCTTTGCCATAATGTTGATTTGGGCCTTCTGGATTCCATTTATAATGGTATAATAGCTAAGGGTTTGTCCGTGTAGGTGGTCTGGCAAGTAAAAGCCGTTGAAAGCTTAGGTCTCATCTGCATGCAATGCATAGGTTATGTCTTTGTGCAGTCTGGCTTAACTTTTGAAGTAGCTTCCCTTGGGAAGAAGTATGGAATGATTATTGTGCTTTGAAATCTATTTTGCAAGGTGACATATGAGAATATTGTGCTAATTTGAGAAAGTATAAGGAAACCGGTCATCACAGTTTGATTAATCATCAGCCATTTTTCGTAACAGGTGTCATGAACTTGCCCAGGTGTGCATGAAATCTTGATATCTTTGTGTGGAATAAGTATTGTGAGGCATTAGAAGTGGTAATGCCAAGCTTAGGTGAATAAATTGCTAATGGTGAAGATAGCTAAAGCTAAGCTACAAAGACAGCTTCATACATTGACTGCCTTAAGTTTGTGTCTTAGTGAAATAATGCTATATTTAATGAATTGCAATTACTAGTTATTTCTAATACTTGTGCTACCAAAACTTTGTGGAAAGAAAAATCTTTTTTCTTTCTTGAATTTTCAGAGGAAAAGACCAGTACAGAAAGTAGAGATGGGAACATCAAATCAGAATGATGTTGATATGAGCTGGATTCCCCAAGAAACTTTAAATCAAATAAGTAAGTAGTCTGCTTTCCACAAACTAGAGCGTAATAAACTTACTTAATTAGTTGTAACTGAGTAAGTAGCTGATACCCATTTCTCAGAACAGCATACATCTCTTCTAGGGAATAAAAATAATTGTCTAAAGCACTGTGCTTAATGATTAGACTATTACATTAGCAGCCTACTCTTGTCTATATAGAACAAACTTCACTGGCTGATACAATAATGACTACCGGTGACTTTTACAATTTGTTCTGTAGACTCTTTTTCAACAGTATAAAATCTCTACCCAAAACCTGGATCACAAAGGAGGTTTAAATAGGAGAAAATATCTATCATCTCAAAGTTTCTGTAAGTTGTTTGGAAGTTTTCCTATAGACCAAAGTTTTAAATAAGCATTAAAAGTGTGTATTAACTAAAGCCACATTAAGACTTGGTATTAATGTCCTTCACAAGTCCAGAATGACTAAGTTCTACTTGATATCTGAAATGCCAACCCAATATCTGATTTCTTTAGACCATTTGTGTGTTTGTGGATATTTCTAACTTCTCTTGCTGTTTCTTCTGTTTTGCTTACCCATGGCTTCAGTGCAGAGTAAAAGAGGTGAGGCAAACTGGTGATCTAAAGAGTGGAAGTGCTTAATGTGTTGTCCATGTGATAATTGGGCATGGATAGAAGTACAGCTTCCTGCATGCAGTGATTGGTGATGTAGCATGAGCGGTACAAGATTACAGAACAGATGCACGCAACCACACAAACACATTTTATATACATATAAATTTGTTTTCATATATTATAAATAGGTGTGTATATATTATGTCTGGTTATATTGTAGTAATGTAGTTTCAGTAAAGTACTGCTGAAGTACTGTTGTCTCCTCTAACAGTTCCCAGAACCCTTTATCTAAAATGCAGATATGTATCTTGCCTTCCCTGCTACCTTGGTGTAGTGTCAAGCTGATGTTGCACGAGGGAGGTGGAGGACTGATCAGGACCAATGGTTGAGCACATCTTGTCTCAGTGAGAAACAAACCTCAGCCTTGGGTATAATAGTTTTATAGTCGGGTTTATCTTCCTGGGTCTTCCTTATCCCAGGTGAACTCCTATCACCAGTAGCATTGGCTGGTGTGAGGTGAGATAGCCTCACTTAAAACAAAGTGCATCCTAGACAAGAGAAGTGTTTTGAAAACCCTTTGCAGGAACCACCTTTACTTAAAAAAGACTCCTGTTTTGATGAAATAAGCATATTCTGAGCTTTATTCAGTGTAGAAGGGCTAGAGGCCTTAGCTGTGATACAAAGTTGTGCCAGGAGTTGACGACCACTTTTTTTGATTCCTTCACCCTTTTTAACTGTACTTGTATTACATAGGTGTAAGGACTGGTGTTTTACTTCTGAAAATGTAAGCTTGTTTGCACACTGTCTTCTGTGAGACACAAGAATGATAGTACAAAATCTAGATACAGGAATTTGAAAAGCCTCACAATCTAGCAAGAAAGACTGAAGCTCTAGATGCTAATTTTTTTCCAAAGAGCAAGCTGTCTTTAAATGGGTTCAAATCCTGGCAATGTTTGGGTCCTGTTCCCCATCCCTTTCTTAAGCTAAATAGGTATTCCTGTCTTAATACCTGAAGTCTAGGAAAACCTGATGTTTTAGTTCTTAATTGGTGGTTTTCTTTAGCTCCAGGTTAGTTTTAATTAGAACTCTACACTAGAATCCTTTGAAATACGTGGCCTTCAAGATCCTCAGAGGTTCTTGACTATATTTTATTGTTGAAAGACTTCATACTATACTGATTGGCTTGTAATGGCGTGATGGCTGCTCCTTGTGTTTGCACATACTCTAAACAGTGAAATTATTGGAGATGGTTCTGCTTAAGTAAATGTGCATTATTTTTTTTTTAAGTCAACAGATACACTTAGCAGTCACTTTAGCACTTCATACAAAGTATTGTAGCTTATCTACCGTATTGCAAGGATTGAAATTCTACTTATGTAAGGACCATCATTGTAAAGGACAATTATAGGCCTGTCATAGTCTTAAATGTAGGATGACGTTTCTGGCGTCCAGTGATCATACAGCTAAAGCTGGGTGGCTTCCCTGTATGGGATGTCTTGATTACAAAGTGACATCTTCATAGTCAAAGGTGGATGCTTCCTGGAAAAGTGTGTTTTTTCACAACCAAAACACTTTTCTGCTGTTAATCTGTATGAATGTGGAAATTTTCATGCAAGACAAAGCTGTCTAAAGGAGGGTCAATCACATATTCTTCAGGCAGGTAAAATCAAACCAGTAACGGTCAAAATAATTCATTAACTTTCTAAAAGTGTGATTATTGAACATAAAACTTTTCTAAACATCAGAGCATGCAGTTTCATCAGGAGATGGTATGGGGTTTGGTTTTTTTGGGGGTGGTTTTTGCATTTCAGTAACTGGCAAACTGAACAACCCTCACCCTGGAGTTGCATGTTGCGGAATAGGAACATTTTTTTTGTTACCTTCTATTTAGGATGCTAATCGTTAAAAAGCCTTAACAAGTTGTTTGAACTGGCTTCTTTGTGGTGATGCATTGCACTAGAAGGGCAGTTTGGCTTGTGTTTGGGAGGGAGAAAAATACATGGTCATACAACAATTAATCTGAAGTAGCTGTAGCAATTGATGCAACTATCTCTTTTTTTTTTTTTTAAATCTAGATAAAGCTTCACCGAGGAGGTTGCCCTACAAGAGGGCACAGAAGAGATCAGTGGGCTCTGATGAGTAAATGTTAACTAGTACAACAGTTGAACCTTTACTAATCCTGCCTGTTTGGGTTTTTTGGATTGGAGTAGTGCAGAGAATCCATATCACCATAAGGAAAATACTGCTAAACATTTGGACTGAACAGATTAACTGAATGGTGTTAATGTTACTGAAAATGCACTTCTCTTTTTTTTTTTTTTGTTAATTGTTGGGGGGGCGGGGGGGGAGGTAGCCATTAAGATTTGTGCCTGCGTGTGTAAGCAGTTGGTCTTAACAGAACCATGTTACCTGAAATGTGCCTTTAGAGTTCTTTGTAATGCTGGCTTGTCATCTGTACACTGTCTTTGAAGGATTTTTCTCTTCCCCCTGATTTGAATGTCTAGTGACTTAATCTATCTTGATTGTATCATGTTTGTTTCAGAATCTGTATGCATTTTTCTTTTCCAGTAAGTAACTCTGTTCTCTACAGCGCGCACACACTGAAGTTTGTGTGTGTGGTCCTATTGCAGTGGTGAGGCACTGATCATCTAGATTTCTGCATAGTTTGCATTCTAAAGGCACAATTGGGTATAGCTACTCATAGCGGTAGATATTTTGCTGCTGTTTTGATCTGGGCATGCAGTGACCTAAAAATCTGAACTTACCTGCATAGATGTTAGGAAGACTCTTACACAGCAGCAGAACTTGTGAAGCATGGAATTTGTGTGCTGAATTGGTATTACTACATAAAATTTTTTTTATACCCAGTTTGTTAAATGGTTATTGAATTGTGCCAGCAGCTTAGGTATTCTGATTATAGTGGTAGCTCTGCAATGTTTACTCAAGAAGTTACTGAATAAGCCAGAACAACTTTTCAGTAAGTTCTTGGTTCTCTCACAAAAACTAGAATGTGATATGTATCAAAATGTGGACTTTTCTTAAAGCTTTACATGGGGCGAGGACTTTGCATTTACTGTACACACTTGAAACTGAATTTGAAAAACTGTTGGCTTCAAATAATCTTTTTAAATGGCAAACTATTTAATTCACCCTTTGCAGTTTTTAAATCTCAAACTTCTTTCCACTGGTCACTACATTGCTCTGAGCTGGTGGGTTTTTTTTATCACCTTGTCTTTCCTACTAGTAACACAGATGCATATCCATTATGAACTACATGTTAGTTCAGTACTAAAGCAGAAAAGCTATATGCAATCAAAATGGGATTTTCTTTTGTGGCAGGCGCAGCTTACATGATTACCAGGTACGGAGGTATTGATCCACATCCATTGCATTCAGGAATTTAACTGACAGTAAAAAGAGCAGATAATGTCAGTTTGCTGCCATTCAGGCACTTGAACAAGGCTTGAATTGTTTGCATCTCAACTGCATCTCTTCCTGTGTCTGAAGGTTATCTGGAAGCTTGTTGAGTTCAGGAAGAGGCATTGATTTGAGACCTCTGTTTTCTTCTTTTCCTCCCCTTCCTGATCCCCACATGTGAAAGTGCTCTTTTAGATCTACACTTGCTCTGCAGGGACTGAGCTTCTGAGCCAATGAATGCTGAGCAATACTTGCAAATCATGTCATAGTGTGTTTGAAGCATCTAAGCTCTGAAACTATACCTGTACTGGCGCTATTTTACTATACGCTTTGCCAGAATGAACTGTGAAGATACTCTCGACTCATCTTGCTATGGAAAAGATAAGAATAGGAAAAGCAACCCCAAAGATGCTTTGTTCAACTTCCTGATAATATAGCTAGCCGAGGCAGAATTTTTAATAGTTAAGATTGCTGAATCATCATACAGGTCACTTGGCAAACAGTTGAATGCTGCCTTCATAAGAGTTATCTCCACTCAAATTGTGTGGAACAGCTTTGTTTGCCTTTAGTGATGTAACCTGACTGGTTCTGTGGTAGGTTTATGGGCTTATATTCAAGCTTGCATTGATTCAACAAAGTGTTTATGTATTAAATGCTTTGTATACTAAAGCCCTATAGCTATTGCAGCACCTGATGTACTGAACTTCTAAGTTCCCTCTCTTGGATTATGTCTCTAACCTGAAATCAAGAGGGGGTTTTTTCACCTTCTGGTAATAGCTAATCTTAAACTGTATACTCTTAATTCTTCCCAAGATAGGAAGGTACTCTTTTGAGGGGGTGATGATGAGAGCTGCTCTAGATACAGTGGTACTCCAGGAAAAAAAGACAAAGAATCAGAACAGAGGATGCTAATTTGTAATATCCTAGTTTTATTTGTTCAGATAAATAGTTTAGCCCTTACTGATTGAGTTTTGGAGCAAGTTAGGCCTTTAGAAATCTTACACTGACCAGGACTTAAGAGAAGCTGAAGGACTGAAGCACTGTACAAAGAAGAAATAAGTATTTGAAGGTTTCAGCTTTCTTCTCTGCACGCAGCGGTTAACATCCAAATGCTTAAGTTCTAAGCATGAAAGAAGAGAGGAGACAGTTTAGCAACTTGCACAGGAACTAGCAATGGGAAACTCTAGTTGTACCAAGACTTTCTTTCTGATCGTACAACTTGGCATTCACTGTGGATGGTTCATAGTAACTTTCTCAGCCAGAAGCAGTTCATGAGAACAGTGGCCAGCAGTCCACCACTGCTCATGATAAATGAAGTAACAGTTTTGAATTCCTTGTTTCTTGTTAGTTTGCTGCAGTTGAAATTTAGCAGTAACATTCCAGTGTGTAGTGGTAATAGAAGTTGGGCATCTCTTACATTATTTCTAGTGAATAAGCCAGTCTGCTACACTCAGATTTCTTCAAATGGGAGAACAGAATTGTTGCTTTATCCTGGTGGTTAACAACTTTTATGTTGGTACTTGAATTTTCTACTCGATTTTTAAACGCATACAGATAGCTTAGTGCCACAGGTAAGTTACTGGATATCATTATTACTGTCATCAGCTGAGTAGGGTATAGTTTCATTGACTTTAAGATGGAACAGGTAGCAATTCTGCCTGTCTCGATGCCACCCCTTTCCATGCGGTAGCACAGGCATTTATATAATCTAGCATTCTTACCCGCCTAGTTTTCAGCAAGCTTACTACACCACCACACAACTGCTCATGTGAGGTTATAAGGAGCAAGGGCTGTGAAAGAAGTTGTGAACTAGGGTTTCTTCCTTGTTAGTAAGAGACGCTGAAATGGCTTTAAGACTGCAAATAAACTATAGCCTTAGTGTGAAGGACCACTACTAATTCCTTTCTCACAGCTCCTTAACCAGTTCAAAAAATTGTGAAGACTTAATGAGTCTATACGTGGGGTAAGAAAAACTGCTTTAGGGTTCATGTCTACAGTGGTACCAAAGCATTAATTTAGCTACACTTGAACTGCGTTTGATACTTGTAGCCCTCTGTATGCTGTCTGCTTTGTGACAGCAGTTCATTTTTTTTCCCAGTATCATTTAATCTGAGAAAGAAGAGTGGCTGCTGTCAGACTGAAGGATGAAGTATCATCTTTATTCTTCATGTACAAAATAATTAATTGTAGGCTGTGGAGATGAATGGAGCAGACTAGTGATGGCAGTGCTTCTGCTTGTTTCAAAACAGTTATGCTGAACATCTTCCTGACCTTGGAATGGATATAATCAAAAGCATCATTCACTGTTTATTCCTGGAATGCATGGTGCTAAACAAAATCTTGCGGTTGAAAGCTCTGAATTCAGGGAAGCAGCAGGAAGATCAAATACTAACATAGGCTGGTTGTCCTGTTTTTCGGTGTGCCTGATGTACTGAGCAGCAGTTGAGAGTCTGTTCTCTTTTCTTCTCCAAAGGAAGGACAGTACCTACCTCATAGGAGTGATACAAGGGCTGTTTCAGGAGTGTTTTGAAGTACTTGAGACTTGCACAATACACTTCCATGGAGATAGTAAGACATAGCACTAGTGTAACTTGATGGTAACTACATAGATTCATGTTATACCAGTTTAATCCCCTCACTGAACAGAATTTAGCAGCTTTAGACTAAGACTTCTCTTAAATACACAGAGGAATTGCGGTTAACTTAGAGGACAGCAAAGCCAGAAAGATCTTTCAGTTTCTGCAAGAGTTTATAGGTAGGCTAAATAACATTGTTCTGACATTTTTCCATTTATCTCTAAATTTTCCCAGGGATTTTTTTTTTAATCAAGTGATATAGATGATTGTTTGTGTAGATACCATCAACAGTCAGTTTAAGAATGATTGTTTTGGATGATTAAGTTCAGATGATGTACCGCAACTGAAATGTTAAATTAACATTTACTTTCTTACCTGCTGACTTTCATTTATAAGTGAGATCAGATCTCTTGAAAATGGCTGCAGGTTTTTTGTAAACTAAACTTGATTTTTTTTTTCTTAGCATTGTGTAGCTTTTTTTTTAAAATAAAGCATGAGTATGGCACCAAAAAGCCTGAGTGGTATGCTGGTGCTCTTTTCCTTGATAAGCAACCTGTAGTAGCAAACATGCAAAGAGTGAAAACACGCTATTCTTAAAAAGCTGCTTTTCTGCAAGTGTGTTTGGAATGGGAATAATAGCAAGGAAGTATTCTGTGATGTTTTGGACAATGGACTAATGTTAAAATTAAAATTCCTTATAAGAATAAGGGAGGGCCCTGGGAAAATGTTCAGTAAATTCTTGAATCCTGATCTGTTAAAACTGAGCCATAGTTCCCTACATTTCCAGAAAGAATAACCTATTGTTAAACTGTTGTAGGCAGCGTGAGAAGGATCTGTTAAGGTGCTTAAAGGCTCCTGAAGCACAAGGCTATATAACAAGGCCAAATTCCTATAGCTTTAAAGTGCATGCCATTGTCTGACCAAGCAAACAATAATATTCCAGGCAGTAATACTGAAAGTAGCAGTTCAAGCAGATGTACTGCATCCAAACAGAAGAAGGTAAGACTTGCTGGGGAAAAAAGCTAGCAAAAGCAAAACAAAAATGGCTTAAAAATAAAGGATATTGAGACTCCCGTATTTGTGAACTACATCTGTGGATAAATAAGGGAAAACTTAAAAGTAGATGTGTTAAGATGTATTTTTAGC